TATGTATAAAAAGTATTTAATTAAATTGTTTATAGAAATGTTATAAATCGAGTGGCTCATTTACGATGTGCTCCAAACATTTGGCGAACTTTTTTTCGCCTTTTCAACGTGCTAAGTAACAAGTTAAGAGGACTGCCATCACGGCCGGTAAGAAACCGCAAGCAAAGGGCAGACAACCTTCCAGGAAGCTGCCTCCTGTCCCCGAGTCGAAGCTGCAGTTCAGCAAGAGCAGGTCAGCAAATTGCTACCCTGATCAAACGTAAACTAAAGCGCTCTGCTGTGATTGCACTCCGTAAACGTGAAAACTTGGTGCATGCTGAGAAATATCAAACAAGAAAACTCCGTGATGGACGCCTTGAGATGGAGTAGCGCTGTGTGGCAACCACAATATAACCAGTAAACAACCTTCGGTGAATTTGGCGACTGCCTTCCTCGGGGATGAATATGCTAGGGATGAAATTATTGGTATACACGCCTTCCAATCACGCAGGGTTGCTTTTAAGAAACAAAAAATAATTAACTTCAAATAGTTTCAAAAAGTATAGTGTAAAACGAAATTTACTGAATAATTCCACATAAAATGGTATACATAAATGACTCATTTTCTAAACGATTTAAATAAAACGCATTTCATAACCTTTTTTGTGCAAACGGCATTTGCGAATTGATAGAAAAGTACTACGGATTGTAAATTTTTTGTTAACTATGAGGTGAATGAAAACTTTCAACCCGGCCTGACGGTTTTGAAGAGTTTTTTTGTTCTAATTTTATTACTAAGGCGTCTAATAAATGCATGGCTTTTAGTTCTAGTAGAATAAATGTCAGTGAAGATAAGTCTTTTTTTGTATAATGTTTGATTTTAATTGCTCAACTTCTTTTTCACCAGAGCAACTGGCAAGCTGGCAGCTCGCACGTTGTCTAAATTCTCAAGTAACAAAGTCCACAAAAGAATAAATTGCTTGTATTACCATCAATACGCCATGTATAAATTTTAACAATACACAAAAATAGAGATTTCGCACGAGCGTTTGTTTGGTTTTTCAACACCATTTATAATTTTCTTTTAATAAAATCACGATTTGTCAAATGCTTAAATTTATTTAATCTAATAATAATGCAGCACACAACCCTGAAATCTAAGAAAAATTCTGAGGAAGGCCATTAAATAGCAGCACACAACCCCGTGCCTTCCTCAGGAGTGAATATAACTACAACAACAACGACTACTACAACAACAACCCAAAAAGGTTGGTTCTGTCCAAGGCACATTAAACAGGTAGTATCAGTAGAGCAAAAACAACATTTGCGTGTATTTTGTTGTTGCTTCTGGTATCGAAAGTGTCAAAAACTGTTCTGAATTTTTTCTTCTAAATCAAAACGTGCCTGTGAAATACAAAAAAAATATAAAAAATAAAAAAATGAAATTGGAAAAATAAAAATGATGCAACTTTCTTTCCTAGTAAATTTGTTTGCTTCTCAAAGCATTGATCCATCCTTTGCAAGGCCCAGTAATCAGCGGTCGTGCTGCCGAGTTGGGCGAACGTTCCAAAAGCTGCTATTCAATCGCTTGTTTTGTATGGGAAAAGGTTTCACATGCAAATGGATTTTAACAATTCAGAATTTTTGTGAGATAAAATTAAAAATATTTGACATTTTCGAGACCAAATAATTTGAAAATAAATCAAATCAGTGCTCTACTGATACTACCTGTTCAATGTACCTTGGTTCTGTCTATACTGTGGTGGCAAAGAAATGCGGGCAATTCGACGGGCCGGAAAAATCCAAATTGGCTTTTGTGATCCGCATCCGCGGAATCAACAAAGTTGCACAAAAAGTGCGTAGTTTTACAGTTCTGTCTTTGCCACATTAAAACGGTGTGTTCAACAAATTGAGCAAGGCAACCATTAATATGCTACCTATGCCGAACCCTATATGGGGTTATCCAAATCTTAAATCAGTTCGTGAATTGATGTACAAACGTGGAATGGTCAAGCGTGTCCCAATCTCTGCTTTGTGATCGGACGCAAATTTCGCGAAGCGCACGAAATTCAGTGCGTTGATTCACTTCACTTCAAGAAAGCCCCCAACTTCCTGTTGTTATTAAGCTCAACACATCAACCCGAGGCTGGCGCAAGAAGGCCACTCACTACGTTGAGGTTGGTGATTTCGGTAGCCGTGAGGATAAGATCAACAAATTGCTGCACAAGATGGCTTAAAGAAATTGCTGTTTTGTATTTAAGGCGACAATATAATTTGGCACATCTTCAAAAGACGCCCAAGCAAAAAAAAAAAAAAAAATTTTAAATTCCTGAAGTTGCTTTTTCACGGGTCGATTTCTGTCGACTGGAAAATTTACTTAAGATATCGACTAGCCAAAACGCTTACATTTTACGGTTGAATTGCAATTTACACGGGTAGATTTTGGTTAAACGACAAAAATCGACCGTGTCAAGGCAGCTTAAATAACGTTCAAAGTAATCATCCCCTTTGAGATGGGAAATACCAATAACCATTTCATAATTTCGAAAATTATTCCATTTATATTTGTTCTTGCATTTTCCACACCACTTGTGAGGTATGCTTTTACGCGCGTTACCGATTTTTTTTTTTAATGTGCTCGTTTGCCCAGGACGCCTATTTTCACTTGTATCACTTACTGTATGCCGATATTAACTAGCACAATATATAAGAAAATTAAAAGTTGCCTTACATCTAGTAAACTTAAAAAATTGCACATTAAATTCATTTTTCATTATAAAATTAAATTAAATATCACAATTCAGTTGAAGTGTATACATGTGTACATATTTACAAAATGTGGTCTGTTTGCACCCACAGTAAGTTCCCATGAAGCCTAGCCTAAATTCAGAACTGAAAAAAAACGAGCAAATGGGGTCGGAAACTACTAGCCCTAAAAGCATAATGTGGAAAATGTTTGAAGAGCTGCGAAATTGTATTGCAATAATAAAAATAACAGTGCATAAATTGGAAAAATGGTTTTGGTTTTGCTTTATAATTTTTGGGAATATTGGTTCAGATGGAATTTTTTTATTTGTTTGGTTTTTCAGCTCGTTAATGATGCACCCAGGGTTGCATTTACTGTCTATGAAAATACTTCATGAAGCGTTCCAAAATTAGCGCCTAGCAACTAAAAGTTGGTTAAGCTTAAATGAAATAGTTTTTTATTAAATATTTATTCCTGGTATTTAGTAAAAATCATTCATCTCAATACTAATGTATGAAATGAAAGTAAATAAAAATCTACGAATACATTTCATGAATATTTTGTCATAGGGCCATTATTAAATTCAGACATAACTTTGTCGGGCGTTGGTGCTGACGTATATAGAATTAATGCGTTAGAGAGAGATAAATATACAAGCTCAAGCGCTAATTTAGGTATACTTGTATACCTGTTACTCGTCTGGCATATACTCCAACTGCGAAAATAATGACAATTATAATCTATTTAGATGCATATTTTAGGTAAATATTATATCGTCGCCTGGATAAAAGATTGTCACAAGTTACTTTCGGTAACTCACAATTGAAGTTTGGAATGCAATTTCTCAGGAACTAGACTACAGATTTTCTCCAAAGTATCGGAGAATGCTATGTACTAGTTCATGAAATTCTTAAATTGTTTTATCTTTTTAGTTTAGAGTCAACCATTTATGAGTTTAATAAAATTTTGTCGAATACGATATTTGTCAAAAAATTTGCAGTCAGTTTCAATGATATACGCCAAAATGTGATAATAATTTTTATAAATTAACGATACTTTTTACTAATCAGCCTAATCGTGAGTTTCGCCCGAACCAAATTTCGCAGTTTTTTCATCCACCTGTAGTGAATACACGCAAACGAAAAGTAAAAAGTGACCCGGTTCTAGAAAATTAAACTCATGACAAAGCTGAATATGTCGGAAACTAAAGAAGAACAGATAACTCTATTTGAAAGATTTTGATTAGTTTAGTACGACAGCAATACTAACGCAATTTGTACCAAATAACCGAAAACATTTTAGTCAATTACTCGGAAACTAAAGAAGATATCCAAAAACCACAAATTGTCAAAATGACGCTTCCGGCAATTTTCCATCCAAGCGACGATATTTGAATGTTACTCGCATATTTTCGAGCCTGTATGTAAATTTTCGGGAAAAAGGTTAAAAAGTATATTCATCTGCTGAAAAGATATTTTCGCAGATTCACAATTTATTTAAAATAAATCTATCAGCCCTATCTCCAATTCCATGTGAATAAATCTCTCCAGTGCTTAAATAATTTTCACCACAATAAATAGCTGCACAACACCCTAATTGCCGAAAAAGCGTTGCTTGCAACACTAGTCCTTTATGGGGACCAAACTTGGTGAAAAAAATAGTTAAGTTTGTTTACTGGATATACTGAGATGAAAACAAACAAAGAGAACGAAAAAGGCGCGGTGATTGAGTGCGATTAAATTGGTATTCATTATAAAATATACAAAGTGAAACTTGATGACAATTAGCAAAAAAAGTTCATAAAATATGGTTTTCATGATTGAAAGTGTTTTACAATCGCATATCATTACCACGGGTCGATTTTTCAATGCCAACGTTCTGGCCACAAACGTGCACCCACTTTTCACGCAAATTTACGCCTTTGTCAAACCAAACATACGCACAAACTTGTTCCAATCACACAGCACTTCATTTTATATCATAAATATGTAATAAACCAAAATTTAAAATTAAAATCGCTGCAGAAAACACATTCAATCGCTAAAAAATCACTACGAAGAGGTAGAAGACGGTGTAAACAAAACCGAAAAACGCTACGAAAACTTTTTTCTGAAAATCGATTACAAATAGAACGATGGCTGATTAGGTGATCTGTAGTCGTTGATTCATGTGGTATACTGTGGTGGCAACAGTGTAGTAAGCAACACTGAGGGCTCCAATAATCGACACCATTCTGCGTATACAGACTGCGTTTAAGTATACGTTCTGCGTTCTCGACTAATTTCAGCTTGACATCCTACCTATCAATTTTGGTTAAAGCCGAGAACGGCAACCCTGTCACATGTCAAGGAAAGATCTGGCATGCACTGCAGTTTGCTCTGCAACAACAAGCACTTTTGACATATTTTGATAAGAACGTGTTACCAGTTGTTTTATTTTCTTTTTATAGCCCACATTTTCCTATATACATAGTAAAATAAAGTGCTTTAATTTTTTACGTACTGCAGTTAGATACAATTTTCAAATGTCTTCCATATTCCTAAAAAATGGTGCAGCGGCGATGATAAAGTATTCGTTAAAAATTTGCTGGAAAGTAGGTGTTGCTAAATATCTGATTATCATTTTTACGCTATTTATCATCTGTTTTAAGTACAAAGTATAGAAGTTATTATAATTCAAGTAGCGCTAGTTTTTTTTCAAGCTCCGGAGATGCATACCCCACTAATAATGAAGATATAAACAATTAAACTTATCGGTCTAAAACACTGACAGCTCATTTTTGGTATTGTATTCACATTTCTGCTGTGCTGTAAAGTTTAGACCGGAAAATTTTATATCCAGCAAACGTTTCAGAAATCAGGTATACGATTTTTTTTTTTAATATCCTTTCATAAATTAAAAGGACTAGTTGTGAAAAAGTGTTCTAACATAAAAAGTTACATACCTATACGTTTTTACTGAAGGCGTTTTCTTTTCTACCGAAAAATGATGCCTTCTCAGTGCCCTCTACGCACAAATACTAAGAAAAGAAATTTGACTTTTTTAATGGTATTGCAATAAGTGAAAATGCTCTTGTGCATTGGTACTCGACCCTGCCTAAGTCGGCTTGGCACTTAATCGTTGTCGTCAAGCTCAAATAACGGGAGACCCAGGAAGCTTGCGGCTTCTATTAGGTGTGTTCATAGGGCATGTTCTTGACTTCGCACCACGCTAGATTAGACGAGGAACTATGAGAGCCCTTGTGGTGCTGCTCGGTCGCTAGTCCCTACTGCGACGCCGCCCACTACCACAACAGCACACAATAAATGGCGGGCAGGTATCACACTTCATTGCCGCCCCACATCCCAATCAGTCTTCTTAGTAAGATGTTACTCCATGTCTCGTAATACAAGCTGATTGAAACACGAAAATACATACCTTTGTAAGTAATTTGCATATCACTAGCTTACAGGAGAAATAAAACTCGTGATTAATGAAAATTTAATCATGAAAAACCGTATAGCTATTTTCTCCAAGAATTTCTCAAAACTTTGAATACAACATTTTGGCTGTTTTTACCAAAGCAAAACTCCGTATTATTAAAAGATTTCTTAATGTTTTGGCCTTATCGGGTTTTCGTTGCTTTATTTGGAATTAGAAAATTTTCCTTTCATTGAATATAAACGAGAATAAATAAAATAACTAGTAATTTTTAGCAAAAAAAAAACCGACTTCAACTCCCATATAAAAAAAATATATATATATATATATATCTCATGATCCGCTGATCGGATCTTAACCAGATTAGTATGGGACCACCTCTGAGACACTACCTTTCCGATGCAAAAAGAATTATAGAAGAAATCGGTAATGCGGTAACATACATAAAAAAAAAAAAAAAAAAATATTCCGACGAACTGATAACCTCCTCCTTTTTTGGAAGTCGGTTAATAAGTACCTTTATACTTTTCAAAACAATGAATTTTTATCCTAATATCATATTATTACATACATATATGCAAAATATGGGTTTTCATAAAAAGTGGACTTAGCAACTTTTCCTCTAAGCTAGCGATATGAGGAACAATTGTTGGGTTCCTTATGCTTGGTATTCATCTGTACACATAAACCTGGCTATATGTGAACTTAAGTTCGTTTTATTTATTATTAATTGTTTTCCTTCCAGTCTCCGAATGCGGCTCAAATACGCTATCTGAACTTAACACCATGCTTACAAAAATTAGTAACATTTAGACTTAGCGACATTGGTGAAGGAATTCGTGAAGTTACTGTGAAGGAATGGTAAGCCATAGTAATTTTTCGTTTCATTGTATAGATTATTCGAAACTTAATATTTTACTTTCAGGTTTGTCAAGGTCGGTGACTCTGTAGAACAATTCGACGAAATTTGCGAAGTGCAATCGGATAAAGCATCTGTTACAATTACTAGTCGTTACGATGGCAAAATCGTGAAACTCTATCATCCAGTAGATGATGTCGCTCATGTAGGCAAACCGTTGTTAGACTTCGAAGTTGAAGAAGATGATGATTCTGATTCAGAATCAAGCGCCGATTCAGGTTCCAGTGCTAGCGATCATAAATCTTTCCAATCATCTACTGGAAAAGTCGCAAGCGATGAGGACGTAGCACGCCATATAACACTTGCAACGCCAGCAGTCCGTCGTCTGGCTATGGAAAATAAAGTAGACCTCTCAAAAGTACCGCCTACAGGTAAACAAGGACGTGTGCTTAAAGGAGATGTACTCGAATATCTGGGACATTTGCCAGCTGGCACCAATATACAACATCCAACAATTGCAGCCAAAATTGAGGAGATCAAATTTTTAGAAACAAAGTCCGTGCCAAAATCTACACCTGCTGTTCCTTATCGTGTTGAGCCACTGAAAGGTGTGCCTAAAGCGATGCTCAAGACCATGTCAGCATCGTTGGTATGCATTTTTGAGCAAACCTATAGAAATCAAAGACTTTTTATCTTGTATAAATTTCAGAAAATTCCTCACTTTGCCTATAGTGATGAGGTTAACATGACAAAGCTTATTGATTTCCGGGATCAATTAAAAAGTGCGGCGAGCGATCGAGGCATACCTAAACTCACCTTCATGCCCTTTTGTATCAAGGCTGCATCTATTGCACTCTCAAAGTTCCCTATTCTAAACAGTTCGCTAGATATTGATAAGGAGGCAGTTATTTACAAAGCGTCTCACAATATCAGCGTAGCTATAGACTCTCCTCAGGGCCTAATAGTGCCCAATATCAAGAACTGCGAGAGTAAAAATATTCTAGAAATCGCATTACATTTGAATGAACTGGTTGAAAGAGGTCGCAAAAATGCATTGACACCGCAAGACTTTGCTGATGGTACCTTTTCACTTTCGAACATTGGTGTGGTAAGTTGCAGACGAAGAATTAAATGAATTTGAATATAACGAATTTGCGTAAAAATATTTCAGTTTGGCGGTACTTATACTCACCCTTGCATTATGGCGCCTCAAGTGGCCATTGGTGCTATGGGACGAACAAAGGTAAATTTATGATTTTTAAATGAACTTAAAAAAGGGAAATGTTTAGTAGCTGACCCATCGTAATTGAGGTGGGGGCGGAGGGGCGGGCCCCTCCCCCCACTAGAAAGGGGACAGTCCCCACTTTCTAAAAAGGCGTACCCCCCTTGGGCTCCTCCCACAGGCCCCTAGGGAACCGTTTGAAAAAGGGGAAAAACGGAATTTCTTAGGCAAACTGAGCAGTTTGAAGTGGAATATAACCCAACTTACAGAAACCGTGGGATTTTTAATAAAAGAAATTATGCCAAATTAGATATCGGGCGATTTTGAATAAAGAATAAAAAAGTTAATTAAAAATAGAAAAAACAAGTTTTTATAAAAAAAATGTTCTTTTTAACAAATGTATTTTTTCGTAGAATTCCTTTCAGCGTAGGCGGCCTTCGGCCGCCCTTAGGGATTATAACCCTCACAAAGAAGAATTCTCTTTCTGTTTTGCGAAGAAAAGGAGCTGAACACCTTTCGCAGAGAAAACCTTTCTGCGTAGGCGGCCTTCGGCCGCCCTTAGGGATTATAACCCTCACAAAGAAGAATTCTCTTTCTGTTTTGCGAAGAAAAGGAGCTGAACACCTTTCGCAGAGAAAACCTTTCTGCGTAGGCGGCCTTCGGCTTGTTTACCACCAACTTCTAGCGGTTGGTTAACTGGTTGACCGCTAAATCAATGCGTGTGTAGGGCCTTTTAGAATTCTATTCGCAAAGCCTTAAGGTGCTGTTAAACGTGATAGCGCATTTTCTACCAGTTTGCTATCAAAAATTGAAATCGAAAGTCCACTTTCCCGTGTAAACAGCCAGAAAGTCCGTTTTGCAGATTTGCAGGCATCACTTTTTTTTTTTTTGATTTTGATAAGTTGCCTGATTTTCACCACCGCCAGGCTTCGCGGCTTGCGTTTTGGTACGAATGCCGTCGAATTTTTTTTTATGCGTCACCCGAAATTGGCTTGCGTGCGTTTCCATTGGATTTCCATCCCTATTCTGTAATCCGTCGTAGTTTCGATTTCCGAATCCGACGTAGCTGTCATTTTTATGTATTTGTCGGAAATTTTGTACGAATAGCAACTAGTGTCGGAGCGAAGCAAATTGTTATTAAATATCAATAAAATTAAGTGTGTAAACGCAAAAGTATGTACATATGTATGTAAGTTGATGTGTGAATAGAAACAAAAATTATTATTAAATGTTTACAAAATTAACAGATCGAAGATCACAATACGAAAAACTGGTGGAATGCATGACCGAAAGGCCGGACATTGGTCGAGGCTTTGTAAAAGGAGCTAAAGAGGATGTGGTAGAATGTTGGGAAAGCGTTCCAAGAATTAAAGCGGCACAATATCTAGTGAAATGGAGGCCCTTAAAAGGAGAGAGCCTACATTTTATCATTTAAGCTAAATGGATCAGAACAATCTCCTAGCAATCTCCTTTGTATATTAATGCAACTGTTAGCTGTTCTTCCTTCTGGAACAAAAGTGCACCGGCCACTGAATCCTTTGTATTCTACTTAGTTAAGGAAAAGTCTTTTCAAGTAATGATTAAACAATTTTTTTTTTTAATTTCACTATTCACTTGCGATTATATTTATTTTGATTTGTTTCTGTCAAAGCAGCTGATTAAGAACTTCGCATTTCACTATTTTAGTTGGCAATGCGGTTGATATTTATGATCGTATTACAGCATACCAATTTTCGAATTTTCGGAATGGAGCTACGAATTCGTAACTACGAACTTTCGGATTACAGCATACGGGTGTTCAAAAATTGGAAATTGAGTTAGCTTCATACGCACGTCGTTCAATTTCGGTTGATCCCATACAAGTTGCATGTGCATGAGAAAGTTGCATGTGCATGAGAAAGTTTAGACAATAAATTGGCTGCGAGCGTGAATATTAATTAGGTTAACCTCTAATTCCTCTGCTTTTAATATATATCTCTTTATATGTTATATTCCACTGGTATGGTAATACCGCTGAGGGACAGAACTACGTGCAAAAGTTTCTGCTTGTATTTGTATCATGCGTATTATTATTTATCAATTATGTATGTGGGTTTCTGGGCCCTTCCGTTCCAATAAAAGCACTCTCTTTTCGTATCAAATTAAGTTTCTTCTTCTTTTTTGGCGCTGTAACCGCCTAAGCGATTTTGGCCGAGTTCAGCAAAGCACGCCAGTCGTTTCTCCTCTGTGCCAACTGACGCCAATTGGAAACGCCAAGTGAAGCCAAGTCCTTCTCCACCTGATCTTTCCATCGCAGTGGGGGCCTCCCTCTTCCTCTGCTACCACCAGCGGGTTCCGAGTTGAATACTTTCAGAGCTGGAGCGTCGGTGTCCATTCGAACGACATGACCAAGCCAGCGGAGCCGCTGTATTTTAATTCGCTGCACTATGTCCATGTCGTTGTAAAGCTCATACAGCTCATCGTTCCATCGTCTGCGGTACTCGCCGTCGCCAACGCGTAAAGGCCCGTAAATCTTCCGCAAAATCTTTCTCTCAAACACTCCAAGAGCCGCCTCATCGGATGTTGTCATTGTCCATGCTTCTGCGCCATATACCAGCACGGGCATGATGAGTGACTTATAGAGCGTGGTTTTCGTACGTCGAGAGAGGACTTTACTCCTGAATTGCCTACTCAGTCCAAAGTAGCACTTGTTGGCAAGAGTGATTCTACGTTGGATTTCAATGCTGACATTATTATCGGTGTTAATGCTGGTTCCCAAGTAAACGAAATTCTCTACTTTCTCGAAATTGTAACTGTCAACAGTGACGTGGGTGCCAAGGCGCGAATGTGCTGACTGTTTGTTTGATGACAGGAGATACTTCGTCTTGTCCTCGTTTACCACCAGACCCATGCGCTTTGCTTCCCTATCCAACTTGGAAAAGGCAGAACAGACTTCGCGGTTTTTGTTACCGATGATGTCGATGTCATCGGCATAAGCCAGCAATTGCACGCTCTTGTAGTAAATTGTTCCTGAGCGGTTCAGTTCTGCAGCTCTTATTATCTTCTCCAACATCAGATTAAAGAAGTCACATGAAAGGGAGTCGCCCTGTCTGAAACCCCGTTTTGTGGCGAACGGCTCGGAGAGGTCTTTTCCAATTCTGACGGAGCTGGTGGTATTGCTCAACGTCATTTTACACAGCCGTATGAGTTTTGAGGGGATGCCAAATTCAGACATAGCGGCGTATAGGCAACTCCTTTTAGTGCTGTCAAAAGCGGCTTTAAAGTCGACAAATAGGTGGTGAGTGTCGATCCTTTTCTCGCGGGTCTTTTCCAAGATTTGGCGTATTGTGAATACCTGGTCTATGGTGGATTTGCCAGGTCTAAAGCCACACTGATAAGGCCCAATCAGTTCATTGACGGTGGGCTTCAGTCTTTCACACAATACGCTCGATAAGACCTTGTAACCTATGCTTAGAAGGCTGATCCCGCGGTAGTTGGCGCGAATGGCGGGGTCACCTTTCTTGTGGATTGGGCAGAGCACACTTAAATTCCAGTCGTCGGGCATGCGTTCATCTGACCATATTCTGCACAAGAGTTGATGCATGCACCTTATCAACTCCTCGCCGCCGTACTTGAATAGCTCAGCTGGCAGGCTGTCAGCTCCAGCGGCTTTGTTGTTTTTCAGCCGCGTTATTGCTATACGTACCTCGTCATAGTCAGGCGGTGGAACGTCGACTCCGTCATCATCGACTGCGGGCTCGGGTTCTTCTTCTCCACAACTTTCCGTGCTGCTACCATTTAGTAGGGCGGAAAAGTGTTCCCTCCATAATTTAAGTACGCTCTGGACATCAGTTACTAGGTCGCCATTATTGTTCTTACAGGAGTGCGCCCCGGTCTTTAAACCTTCCGTAAGTCGCCTAACTCTCTGGTAAAATTTTCGGGCATTCCTCCTGTCGGCCAGCATTTCAAGCTCTTCGCACTCACGTATTTCTGCCTCTCTCTTCTTGTTGCGGCAAATACGTCTCGCTTCCCTCTTCAGATCCCTATAGCGGTCCCACATAGCGCGCGTTGCGCCCGATCGCAGCGTGGCCCTGTAGGCGGCATCTTTTTTCTCTGCAGCTTCCTGACACTCCTCATCGTACCAGTTGTTCTTTCGGGCTCGCTGAAATCCGACTACTTCTTCGGCGGCGGTACTTAATGAGCGGGAAATGTGGTTCCACTGCTCGCATATGTCGGTTTGTTGAAGAGTGCTCTCTGAGAGCAGGTGTGAGAGTCGAGTAGCGAAAGCGCTGGCTGTCTGTTGTGATTGCAGCTTTTCGACGTTAAGCTTTCCTTGCATATTTGGGCGCACATTTTTTGCTGCACAGAGGCGGGTGCGTATCTTGGCTGCAACAAGATAGTGGTCCGAGTCGATGTTTGGGCCTCGGAGTGTGCGTACGTCTAAAACACTGGAAGCGTGCCTTCCGTCTATCACAACATGATCGATTTGGTTTCTCGTTTTTCGATCCGGAGACAGCCAGGTAGCTTGATGGATCTTTTTATGCTTGAACCTAGTACTGCATACTACCATGTTTCGGGCCCCGGCGAAGTCGATCAGCCTCAATCCGTTGTCGGACGTTTCGTCGTGGAGGCTGAATTTTCCGACGGTGGTTCCAAAGATCCCTTCTTTGCCCACCCTGGCATTGAAGTCGCCAAGCACGATTTTGATATCATGACGGGGGCAGCGCTCGTACGTGCGCTCCAAGCGCTCATAGAAGAGATCCTTGGATGCCTCATCCTTCTCTTCCGTCGGGGCATGGGCGCAGATGAGCGAGATGTTGAAGAATCTCGCTTTGATGCGGATTGTGGCTAGACGCTCGTCCACCGGGGTGAACGACAGTACTCGGCGACGGAGTCTCTCTCCCACCACAAATCCAACTCCGAATTTGCGCTCCTTTACATGGCAGCTGTAGTAGACGTCGCAAGGCCCCAGACATTGTTTGCCTTGCCCCGTCCAACGCATTTCTTGGATGGCGGTGATGTCAGCTTTTGTCCTTACGAGG